TCTCTTTCCATATAAATGCAGAATTCCTGTACACTCTTCACACTGGAGAGACCCTTTGTATAACTATGAAGGGGGAGATGTAGTGACGATTGAACTTGTGAACCTTGTGTCATGGTAATTTAAATGTATTGCTTATTAAATAAATATCTTAAAGCTGGAAGTAATTTGGTTCCCTTCCTTTATTATGTGGAAAAGGCAACAGAAACACGTAAAGATGACATGACTGCTCCAAAAATGCACTGGGCAGGCATGTCCAAACTTCTGCATACTGCACCACAAGGGTCTTGATGTTCTATGCCTATTGGAACCAGTGTAGTTCTATGTCTTGCTACTGATAAATTGGACACCTGAGCCTCAAATTTGGAAGAACAAAGGAACAAGGTGGCTGGGGTAGCGCGAGAGTTAGTAAGCTGCTGGGCTCTGTTTGGAACTAAGCCCCATGGAGAAGAAGAAATAAACTAAAGCTTAGGTTCATCCTATGAAAAAATATGTTGGCCACAATCCCCATGGTCTCTGATCATCATCAAGAATATGGTACAGGCTTGTACCAACAACTGTATGCATTTCTCCCCTGGACAATCACACTATTCTTGTCTTGGTCTTGAGAATCTACTCTTTAATCTATCTATTGTTAACCTATCAAAACAATTGATAGAAAAACTAGATAGGAAATCAGCAAAGCTGTAGAAGAACTCAACAATATCATTAAACAACAGGATTCAATCCATTCAATAACAGTAAAATACACATTCTTTTCAAGTGCTCATGGAACATTCACCAAAATAGACCATATTCTGGATCATAACAAGTCCAAATGAATTAAACTTATATAGAATATATTCTCTGATTATAATGGGACCAAACTAGAAATGAGAAACAGATAACAAGAAAACTTCCAAACACCTGGAAACTAAAATCACACTTGTAAATAATCTGAGTTAAGAAAATCAATCTCAAGGGAAATAAATACATTGAACTTGATAAAAAAGAAAATTAAATATACCAAAATCTGTGAGATGACAGTTAAAGCAGTACATAGAAGATAATTTAAAGCACTACTGCTTATATTAGAATAGTCTCATGTCAAGAAACTAAACATTACCTCAAAAAAGAAGAGCAAAATAAACCCAAAGAAAGCAGGAAAAAAAAAAACAATAATAAAAGCAAAAGCAAAATTTAATGAAGTTGAAAACAGAAAACAATAGAGAAAAACAATAAAACAAACAGGTAGTTCTTCAAAAAGGTCAAACAAACCTCTAGCAAGATGACAAAGAAAAAAGAAAGATGACACAAATTACTAATATTCTAAATGAAGCAGGGGATCTATTATAGGGCATAAAGATTTTAAAGGACTATAAGGGAATACCACGAACAATTCTACACATATAAATTGGCGGGGTTTTTTTATTTTTATTTTTTAAGATTTTATTTATTTATTCATGAAAGACACACACACACACAGAGGCAGAGACACAGGCAGAGAGAGAAGCAGGCTCCATGCAGGGAGCCTGATGTGGGACTCGATCCCGGGTCTCCAGGATCAGGCCCTGGGCCAAAGGCAGCACTGAGCCACCCAGGCTGCCCAGCATTTTAAAAGAAATGAACCAATTTCTTAAAAAGCATAAGCTATTACAACTTACCTAATATAAGATTGATAAGTCGAAGAGATTTATGTATATTAAGGAAATTAAATTATAATAATAAAACTTCAGAAATCTCCTGACCCAGAGAATATTGCTGGAGAATTCTATGAAATATTAAAGTTAACACAAACTTTCATGCAATTTTTTCCAGAAAACAGAAGATCAAGGGACACTTCTAACTTATTTTATGAAGCTAGCATTACTTGGTACCAAAACCAAACAGACTGTCAAAAAAGAAAGAAAGAAAGAAAGAAAGAAAGAAAGAAAGAAAGAAAGAAAGAAAGAAAGAAAGAAAGAAAGAAAATAAAAGGAAACAAAACTGCAGAGCAATGTTCCTCATGAACAGAGAGGTAAACATCCTTAACAAAATATTGGCAAAAAGAATTCAGCAATATATAAAAAGAGGTTTTTTAAAAAGAGTATTATCAAACACATAACTATGTGGGGCTTATTCTAGGGATGCAAGACTGGCTCAGTATTTGAAAATCACTCAACCTAATGTACCACATTAACTGGCTAAAAAAAAAAAATTCACATGATCTCATCTATTGATGCAGAAAAAAAGCACTTGACAAAATCCAACAGCCATTCATGATTTAAAAAAATAAAATAAAACTTTCAGAAAATCAGAAATAGAGGGAACTCTCCCAATTTGATAAAGAATTGTACAAATATATAGTTACCATTACACTTAATAGTGAAAGACTGACTGTCCTTCCTCTAATATCTGGAACAAAGCAAGATGTCCATTCACACCACTGCTATTCAACACAGTCTTGGAAATTCCAGCCAGTGAAGTAAGACAATAAAATAAAAGACATACAGATTATAAAGCAAGAAATATAACTTCCTATGTGACATGATGGTGTACACAGAAAATCCCAAGGAACCTATCAAAAAACAAACACATAAAAATTCCCAAAACTAGTGAATTTCAGCAAGTCAGAGGACACGAAATCAACATACAAAAATCAACTGTATTACTGTATATAAATGAAGACAGGTATAAAGACATTTTAAAATACAGTACCATCTGTAGTCACTCCCAAAACATGAAATACTTAGCTGTAAATCTAACAAATATATTCAGAACTTGTATACTAAAAACTGTAAAACACTGGATGTAAGAAATTGAAGCAGATTCAAAATGGAAAGGCATACCACATATGTGGATTTGAATACTCAACATAGTACAGATGTTATTTTTCCCAAACTAATAGAGACTTACCAGAAGAGTTTTTCTAGATATAGACAAGATAATCCTAAAATTAATATGGAAATCAAATGGCTTATAAGAGTTAAAATAAGTTCTAAAAAGCTGTTGAACTAATCTACCCAATGCCTAATTTCAAGACTTATTACATAACTATAGTAATCAAGACTGTGGATATTGACGCAGTGATAGACATACAGATAAAAAGAACAAAATAGAGAACACAAATATGTATATATATATATATATGGTGATAGAAGATCCAGATATCCATAGAGGAAAAAATGGTGGAGAGAACTTACCTCACTGATTTTATATAAAGACAGATAATTAGTTAAATGTAAAATATAAATTATAAAATTTTTAGAAGAAAACAAAGGAGAAAATCTTCAGGAACTAGTGCTTCATGAAGAGTTCTTAGTCATTACTCCAAAAGCATGTTCCATAAAAGTTTAAAAATCAATAAATTGAACTTCATCAATATTAAAACCTTTTTCTCTTCGAAAGATCTTGTTACAAAGATAAAAAAACAAGCTCCATACTGAGAGAAAAACATTTGTAAATTACATCTGGCAAAGGAATCACACCTAGAAAGAACTCAATAATTCAACAGAAAAAATGAAACAAAATAATCCAATTTTTTAAAATTTTTATTTATTTATGATAGTCACACACAGAGAGAGAGAGAGAGAGAGAGAGAGACAGGCAGAGGGAGAAGCAGGCTCCATGCACCGGGAGCCGGATGTGGGATTCGATCCCGCGTCTCCAGGATCGCGCCCCGGGCCAAAGGCAGGCGCCAAACCAATGCGCCACCCAGGGATCCCAAAATAATCCAATTTTTAAAGGGTAACTAATATGAAAAGATATTTCAATAAAAAGGATATAGTGAAGGCAAATAAGCACATTAAAAAAGTTCAATATCTGGGGCAGCCCGGGTGGCTTAGCGATTTAGTGCTGCCTTCAGCCCAGGGCCTGATCCTGGAGGCCCGGGATCAAGTCCCACGTCAGGCTCCCTGCATAGAGCCTGCTTCTTCCTCTGCCCGTGGCTCTGCCTCTCTCTCTCTCTCTGTCTCTCATGAATAAATAAATAAAATCTTTAAAAAAAAAAGTTTGATATCTTTAACCAACAGGAAAATGCAAATCAAAACACAATGAAATATCAACCTATTAGATTTATACCTATTAGAGTAGCTAAAATGTAACATAGTAACAATACTCATTGCTGGTGAAGACAGAGAAACAGGATCTTTCATACATTTCTGGTGGGAATATAAAAACTAAACATTCATCATACAACCTAGTAATCATACACCTGGGCATTCATCCTAGAAAATAAAATCTTGGGCAGCCCCGGTGGCACAGCGGTTTAGCGCCGCCTGCAGCCCAGGGCGTGATCCTGGAGACCCTGGATTGAGTCCTGCGTCAGGCTCCTGCATGGAGCCTGCTTCTCCCTCTGCCTGTGTCTCTGCCTCTCTCTCTCTCTCCCTCTCTCTCTCTCTCTCTCTCTCTCTGCATCTCTATGAATAAAAAAATAAAATCTTAAAAAAGAAAAGAAAATCTTATTTCCACACAAAGCCTGTATACAAATGCACATAGTCATTTTATTTGTAATAAACAAAAACTGGAAGCAACAAAAATGTTCTTCAATAGGTGAATGGATAAACAAACTAGTATATTCCTGCCATGAAGATTACTTAGCAATGAGAAAGAACAAGCTATTATTAATATACACAAGAACTTGAATGGATCTCAGGGGAGAAAAGCCAATCTCCAAAAGTCACATACTGAATAAGTGCATGTATGTGATATTCTAAAGATCACAAAAAATACAGAAATAACAAATAGTGGCTGACAGGGGTTAGGAATTTTGGAGGAGGGAGGTGGGTGTGACTATAAAGAGGCAGCAGGAGGGGTATCTATATGATGATGAAACAGTTCTGTATCTACACATGATAAGATGACATGAAACCATGGACACACAAGGTACCAATGCCAATTTCCCAGTTTTGATATCTTACTACACTCTAATTGTGTGACACTGTACCATCTTTGCAACTTCCTGTGAGTTATCATTTAAAATAAAAACTTTAAAAATATATCATCACAGTATATTTTCTATTGGAATCACAAACATTGACACTCACTTCCAATATCTGGCCTCAGCTTTTTATCATATTCTCTCAGCAACTTGTTGAGAATAAGAGTCACATCGGTGTCTTGGGATTTTGGAGCTAAGACCCACTTTTGGTTTGATGATGAATCTTCATATTCATCCTCTTCCACTTTTCTGGACCTGTAATTATGGCACAAAGTATTAGTTGTAGTAATGGCTCAGGAAGTATCTTAAGGTTGGCCCATGCAAGCACCACTGACATAAGTAGAAGGCCCACATTACTCAAAGCCCAATCAATGGATTACCTCTAAAATGAAGACAAAACAAAACCAAACAAAATTTAGAATGAATCCAATAGGAAGAATGCCACTGCTCTTAACATGTCATTAGGCTTTCATTAAATGTCACAAATTGATTCCTTGTCTCTGTTAAACTATACACACTATGATAAACAAATCAATGCCAGAAGATCAACCAGCAAGTAATCAGCCGTGTTTGGATCCACCCTGAGAACCTCTGAAGGTCAAGGCACAAACCTTCCAGATGTTTGTCAGGTGGTGACTGTGGGACCCAGGAAATTTAACAAAATCCCCTACCCCTGGACAAGCAGAGCAGGACTGACTCTATTTTGGGCTGCACCCACCTTGTGCTGACCTGCTTATTGCTTAGGGCACTGCCCCACCCTAGTCAAGCCCAGGGCACACCCTAACCAGAAATCCAGCTCAGTGATAGGCCAGTTCAAATGGATACTTTAGGGTAAAATGTAATTCAATCGGCCACCTGCGAGTGGACCAACATGACTGTGCAACTTTCTGCGTATCCCATTGGCCACTGGCCCCTATAACGTTGCTATGCCTCTTAGTCTGGGGTCCAAGTCCCTGCTCCGCTGTGTCGGGTATACTTGGACCCAGGCTCGAGCTTGTAAATAAACCCTCCTGTGTTTGCATCGGTGTGGCTCCTTGGTAGTTTCTCGGATTCACAATCTTGGGCACAACAGTGACTTTATCATGCTGTTCCACCCCCCTACTGCCAAGACCTCATTTTAGTTGAATATAAGAATATTTTTTGCAGAATCACACTCACTAAAATAGCTAAGCTGACTTTTGTGCTTCTTAAGGAGACTAGAATCTTCATTCCAGGTAGACGTGGGACATCATGAGGTGGTCTGCTTGGCCAGCACTTGTGTGGGGACAAGGAACAGAGATGGTGTTGGGTGAACACCCTCTGGCAATTTTATAATACTCTTACAACACGAAAGGATTCATTTCTTACAGAGCAGCTCATACAGACATTAAAAATTAAAATCTTTCTAGGGGCAGCCCCAGTGGCTTAGCGGTTTAGCGCTGCCTTCAGCCCAGGGCCTGATCCTGCAGACCCAGGATCGAGTCCCACGTCAGGCTCCCTGCATGGAGCCTGCTTCTCCCTCTGCCTGTGTCTCTGCCTCTCTCTCTCTCTCTCTCTCTTTCTGTGTCTCTCATGAATAAATAAATAAAATCTTTTTTTAATAAAATAAAATCTTTCTAATATGTCTTAACCATTTGGCCCCTCAATAAATGGGTTGAGACGAACGTTTGAGCATCTCTGAGCTTGTCTCGTGCAGCAGGATAGCAGCCTCTCCTGGGTAATACACACTGACAGGAGTACTTGAATGGAGAAGCCTCAAAATGACAAGCTAGTTTTCTTAGTGAGTGAGGATGAATCAACAACACAGCCATCTGGGCTTGAAAAGAGGAGAGTCTCCTGCCTTAAAGCAGTATTTCCAGGTGAACTTTCACTTACTAAGGCAAAAAAAAGCTTGTAAAACAACAAACAACTTCCCTATTTCCTTATACTTTGTTAATATAAATGTCTAAGTGACTTTTTTTCTTCACCAAAGGGAACAAAATATAGAATAGAAAGCTGTATTGAGGTTTATTTATCCTGTCTTGGTATGAGCTCATTTCTGTTTAGCTTCCTAAACAGGAGCCAAAATGTTAACATCATCCTAGGGCAGTGGTGCTCTGGGACACAAGTTTCTTTAAGTTAATTTTTGGAATTGTCTAAATTATCTATAATGAACATGAAAGAAATAAAGAAACTTTTAAAAGTTCATTATCTCCACATTGTTTAAATGCTAACAATCACATGTATAATATAATTACATAATTATCTATAGAGTACAATAATATACATGATTTTGTATAATATGTAGTTACATGTAGATGTTATATATTATACATATTATAGTATTTTTTGAGTGTTAACTAGCCTTAATCTAGACTATGGCAGTGGCACATACTCTGGTCCTGGTTGAATATATATATATATATATATATATATATATATATATATGATCTTGAAAATGAGTATATAGCATGTGTCTGGCAGACTGACTTCATTTAAATTTTTCCTAGGCTTATCTTAAACTGTAATTCTATTTCTTAAATATTTATTGGGTAGAAGGTTAAAATAAATTCTCCACAGAAACTTTAAATTGTTGTGAGTTTTTATTTGCACTAAACATTCACCATCAATAAAAACTTAAAAATTTGGGACACATTCAAGAAGTGATATGCTGCGTTTCATTACATGTAAAACTGAACTTATACAAATAACACTATAGAATTTTAAATGTCACTGTAGAATATTTCATCAAAAATATTGTCAGGAATATTAATTTTATCATCTTGGAAAAAAGGGAGTAGATTGAAGCAGGTTTTCTGCAGGACATGGTTAGCTAAAAGCAATCACTGCCCGCAGGACCCGGCAATTCATTCCACAGCAAGACGGAGAGACCAGGGACAGACGGGCAGATCACCTTGGCAGATCACATACAACATTCTCAAGACTTGTTCTAACCGGGCCACAGTGCTTTCCTCTCTCCCTCTTCCATCTCTGCCTCTTTCTCTCCCTTCTCTCTTCTCTTCCCCTCCCCTACCTTTCTCACCCATTCCTTTCCCTGGCTCCCCTCCCCCGCCCCAGCACAGGCAGTTCACCAGCACAGACCAGACTATGCTCTCCATGCCCTGTTATTTTCTGTTGCCCCGATGGTCACATGTACAGCGACTGAGCACACTAACTCTTTATCAGCTTTCTGTATACACACCGCCTTCGTTTTTGAAAAAGACTGAGCTACTTCAAATGCAGTTATTATAATGAGTCTAATTCTCCCTCTAGTGGTGATGAGAGGGTTTTCCTGAAATTGCATAAGCTTCTTCCTCAGAGGCCAAAGCAGGCGAGAGCAGGAGAGAGGAGGAAGGAAAAGCAACAGCGTCCTCTCCCACCCCTTCAGGAGGTACACGGGGACCTGCAGCGTGGTTGCTGGGGTGGGGTGCACTATGGCAAAGTGTGGCCCGAGATCCTCTAGTTTCCTTAGAGGCCAACACTGAGCTTCCCCCAATCCTAATCTTCTGTCAGTTTGCTGCAGGACTTCAGAGAATGAAGTAGAAGCTTCAGAGTGCTAGTGTCAAACCACCAGCCCCACGGAAAAATCCTCCCTTTGATGAAAACCAAGACTCCTCTCAGAGGACACACTGGAATATGAATAAAATAAGAATGATCTGCTTTTCTAAATTCTAAGTGGGCTATATATAATCATTGTGAGTGTTCTGTTATCAGGATTGTTGGATCCTAAACACCATCACTGCAATTAGCTTTTTCTTAAAAACCAATTGGCAATGTATTGTCATTGTCAAATAACTGCTCAACCTTCAGATGTTATTTTCATGTCTTAGACCTTCTCTTCAATTAGAAGGACAAAGACAACATCTGAAGTATTTTTAAACATTAAAAGGAGCTCCTAAACCTCAGAAACCAGTTAAGTGTCTGCAAGGTATTACCGGGGTCCAGGCATGACTTTGTGTGTTGTAATACATAACAAGCTCATTCATGGGTGTCAGAATAGGGTGCTTTTCTCTCCATGGAGTTGCCAAGAGAGAGCACAACTGTCAGAACCTTTTCCAGGGATTCTGAACACCAGAAAAGCAATACAGAGTGCAAACGAGAACATCTCAGCATTAACAATAGTTTGAAAAGAGACACTGCCCATCAGATTATTTTGCACATCTGTAAAACCCATTCAAAGAACAAAGACACTTTCAAAGGAGAGGCATATAGCTAGATGCTTGTTTAAAATTTGGATTTTTTTCAACCGATATGCAACCTCTAATATGAAGGCCAGGGAATGAACCAAGTTACAGAACACATTAAAACCATTACCTCTGCCTGGGTGAAATGTAAGGAGGAAGAATCCTGAGAAATTGTACATGTATTTGGGAATCCCTAGAAACCCGGCTGCTTCATGTTAGATACTAAGATGTCCTCCTACTAAGCACATAAACTAATGAGGAAAATAGGTAATTTTCCTTGTAGCATGTTAACTAGCTATAAATCTCAACTATATGTAGTTAATTATCTATCTCCGAAATGCAGGTCACTTCATTCAGTTGGTAGCAACAGAAAGGTCACGTAGATGTGACTTCAGATCTAGATTATATACTTCAGACGTCTACATTATGCCTATGCCATCTGCTTATCTCTCTGCCTCTAAACAGAGATACATACAGGCAGAATCAACTTCAGAAAGTGCATTTCCATCTCCTTCCCCAGCTCTCTCCTTAGGAAGAAACTGGAGTTTAAAGGCCCAAGGAATACTATGCCTGGTTGAGGGAGCTGCCTTGAGTCACCAGTTGACACTGTCTCTGGCACACTGGTTTGCCTTTCACACTCACATCTTAGTGGGGATAAATGGCATGGAGGGGAAGGGGTCAGGGCTTTCTTTCTCAAGGCCAAACATCCCTGCCAAAAGTGGGGAGTGAAACTGGAAGTCTTTTTATGTCTTTTAAGATTTGTTATGTGCCTTCCTACTTCACAAATATGAATGGAAATCTAAGACCTGGCATTGCCTGCTCACACTTGCAGGGCTTTCTGCTCCCAGGGAGGCTCTCTAGCTCTCTAGCCTCCAGATCCAGGAAATGAACAAGAGTGTTTTGGGGAAAAGGGTGTCTCAAGATTCTTGGGATGGGGATGGGGGGGAGAGGCATGGAGCTACTCTGATTTCCAAAGTCGGCGGGCTCTGGACCAGAGATCTAGTCTAGGAGACAGAGTTAAAGAAACCAAGCCCAGAATATCTATTTATATTCACAGCAACAGGAATTAACCCTCTAGTTCCACTGCCCTTCCATCCCCACTAGCCATCTTCATCCCTTCCTGGAGAATTTCTAAGCTCCCATTAGCTGGTTGCAGGTAAGGGTATTTGGGGTAAGATAAGGTCTTACAGTTACCAGGCAAAAGCCTTATTATCAATTTCAGCATGTGTGCTTTATGGGGGTAAGTGTGTATGTATGTTCGTGTGTGAAAAGTGGCTCATCTATAAGGGATGCGTGTGTAGAGTGTGTGTTTGCAGGACCTGGGGAGGGGAATCCTTTCTGAGAAGTAGGGTTCTTTTCCTTGCTCCAGTCTGCTACCTGCCCCCAGCCTGGATGCTCTTTGCCAGTGTGATCTAAACAAGGCAGCTAGGAAACCACGACTTCTGGGTCTTAGGAAATTCAGAGTGATGGAAATTATACAGAATGTGATCCGGTGTATGCGTGGGGGCCCCTGGAACACTTGTGTGGGGGGGCAAATAGGAGGTAGACACCTTTGGTTCTGTATGATAGTGGTTCTCAAAACCCCTTAAAACAACCCGATCCTAAAAAGCTTCGGGAAAAGCCCATTCATCTCAGAGTCCCCATATTCCCAGTGGCAGGGAAGGCTGCAGCCGCCCAGCCTGGAGAGGTAGATGGCCCTGTGCCGGGGCAAGGGGACAGGTGGGGTGCGGGCCGGCGACCCCTCTGCTCCCGGCCTGGCCGCAGCGGGCCCTGCGGCAGCCCCGCCGACGGCAGGTGCGCCCGGACTCCGGGCCCGCACGCGGCGCCGCCGCCGCCGCCGCCGCCCGCCTGGCTCGGAGCCCCCGGGGCCGCGGGCCCGGGCGCCACTTACCGCGCGTGCACGCCCCACAACAGGCAGAGGAGGAGCAGGAGCTTTGGAGCCATGGTGCGGTGGAGCGCAGGGAGGATGCCCGGGGCCTCGGGCCGGTGCGGCTTCCCCCGGGGCACGGGCCTCGCCTCCTCCGCCTCTACTGTCCCTCGCTGCCTCCAGGCCGCGGACTGCGGCGCCACACGGTCTCCCGGCCGGCGCGGCCCGACAGGTGCGGCTCGGAGGCCTGCCGCGCCCCCGACGGCCGGCGGGTGTGCGCGCGGCTCCGCGGGGCGCACCGAGGCCGCCGCCGCACCGCCCCCCGCGCCCCCGCCCCCGCCCGCGCCCGCGCCCGGCTCCGGCTCCCGGTCCCGCTCCGGCTCCGCGCAGCTTGGAGGCGGGAGCGGGAGCGGGTGGGCGCGGAGTCCCGGCCCCTCCTCCCGGTCCCCTGCCCCCCTCCCGGGCGGCGGGCTCTGAGCGCGGAGGCGGGGGCGCGAGGCGGCCGCTCCCCGCAGCGCTGCCCGGCGGCCCCGGCGGGGAGGAGTTTCCCCAGTTACGCGCCTGACAAGGCGCTCGGCGAGGAAAGCAGGGCTTGAATGGGCTCAGGAGTTCGGGCCGGGCAGGGGGCGGGGCTCGGCTGGGAAGGGCGGCTTGGGGACCCCAAGGGAGCCTGGCACCTCGGCGTGGAGAGCTAACTCCGAGCCGGCCGGGGTGCACGCCGGGCGCCCTCTCCAGCCGAGACGGCCCTCCCGCGCCCCTGACCTCCGATGGCCCGCCCTCCCGGGTGGCAAAGGAGTGGGATGGTTTGCTGAAAGCGCCCCTTCCAGGCACACGTCCTGCTGGGTCGGCTGAACCCCTGGGCACGACCAGGATTCTGGGTGAAGAAGTGGCTTGCTAGGAATATTTTTCAAAAGCACTCTCAATGTGAAATATTCTAACACGTACCAATAAACAGATGAAAAGGACAATTAAAGGTAGACGAGAGACCTGAGCTCTAATGCAAAAATAAAAGACGTTGTTTGAACTACGAAGAGAGCACTTCGTTCAATGTATTTTCATTCCCCAAAGGCTGAAAATTGTATTTATGGTTTCATTTGTAATAGTCACCCCGAAAGCTAGTGTGTCACCAAATAAGTATTACGATGTTAGCATAGTTTAGAATAAATCCACTAAGAAGTTTGCTTTTATGCTGCAAAAAAAGTTTTTATAAAGTATTTTATTTTTTTTTAATTTTTATTTTTTATTTATTTTATGATAGAGAGAGAGAGAGAGAGGCAGAGACATAGGCAGAGGGAGAAGCAGGTTCCATGCACCGGGAGCCCGATGTGGGATTCGATCCGGGTCTCCAGAATCGCGCCCTGGGCCAAAGGCAGGCGCCAAACCGCTGCGTGACCCAGGGATCCCTATAAAGTATTTTATATTTGAACTACTATTCATAGAATTATGAGAGAGTGTGACGTTTCTTAATATTGTCAAATACTTCATTTGTTTATAAAATACATAGAACAGTAAATTGGAGGTTGTCTGGTGTTTTCTTTCTTATTTCCAGTTCATCAACGTGAATGTAGTCATGAAGTGGAGTGAAGTCAGTGATGACAGGATTAGTTGCTCCTCGGCATCACCCTCTCCCTATCTCTCAGTGGCCTTGAGCTCACATGGTTCACCGCTTCCTGGGGCTGCTTCTGACATTCTCCTCTGCCTTCTACACGTCTCCAACTTAAGTGCACAGACCTCATTCAAGTTTTGTTTTCTGAGAGGACCCAGCATTCCTGCATTCTGCCACTTCCAGAACTTCTTCCAGCTTCAAGTGAATATGAGCCTTTATCATACTCTGCCTCAATCTCTAATTTTCTGTATCACACAATTGAATGCTTTATAGATAATGACTTATCATTAATTGCTTATAGAAATATGTGACATGTTCACATAGTCTTTAAGTGTGCTGTGAGAAAACTGCAAGTAAAGAAACAATTCTGACCCTCAATTTTCAGCACAGCGATAGGAATATAGGTAAAAGTAACCAACCATCAGATATTGATAACATAAAGGGGCGCAGGGCCGATGTGAAGGCTCTACGTAGATTAACTCATTTTTAAATTTCACAGCAATCTTCCTATTTCACAGATTGTGGGGGGCGCAATTGCGGGGGGGGGGTACGGAGAAGTTAAGTCACTTCCTTGCGATCACACAGGTTGAGAACTGGAGGCTAAAACCTAGACAGTCAGCTCCAATGTCTCAGTCATCATTGCTATATTATACTGCCTGTCAGATGAGTAGGAGCTCAGTGAAAAATTGTTTGCCCTTTTGAGCAAATATTAGACTCTTTGCTGTATTCTTTATTATTTGAGCATGAGTTAAATGCTTACAAGTAGTTTAAAATAAAAACAGACCCAAACTTGAGTGTATCTGAAGCCCTTCTGGCATTTGGAATGCTTTGCTCCACTTACTGGACTTAGTGGGTCATCTTGGTAGACTTGGACATTTTACCAAAAGCCCCCATTCTCATACTGAGATCTGGAAGGAAAATCTTTTCTTTTCTTTTCTTTTTTTTCTTTTCTTTTCTTTCTTTCCTTTTATAAGCAAACTGAGCTGAGAGGAAGGAAAATCCAAAATAAGCTTTCTGGGCATAAGCATAAAGCAAAATGCAAAGTCCAAAATACAGAATCTTCAAAGGACAGACTTTTCGACTTTGATTTTCCTCCTTTGCCTTTGACCTGAGGAGAGGGGAGTGGAGGGAGAGGTTGGAGGAGAGAGAGACGGCGGGGGCAGGTGGGGGCGGCGGCTCTACGGAGCATGCGCGGTGTTCGCTCCTGGCTTGGCCTCTCCTCTCTCCATCTTCAGCCCCGGAGAAATTGACAGTTCCACTTGGGCGCGCGGGACTTGCCTGCAATTCCCCCCAGTTCACAGGAAGAGGAAGGAAAATAAAAAGTAGCGTAAGAGGGAAGGTTGGGGATTAATCCGCTCAGCCAAAGCACACGCACTTCTGTGAATATCGAACATCTCCCCCCCAGTGCACGCTATTTGTCTGGAGTTTTTGCTGCGGGTCTAGACTCGGAGTTTCAGAGGGAAGACCCGGCTGGCCTGCAGGGCCGCGGGGGAGGCGCATCTCCGCCGCAGGCGGGGAGGAACCCAGGAAGCCGCCGACCCGCATCTTTGCTTGAGGATCCTCTGGTGGCGTCTCTGAGAAATACCTCGGGGACTTCTTTCCTGGCCTCGCTTCACCTCCTCCAGGCGCCAGAGCGGAGGCGTCACCGCGCCGCACGGCGCTGGACCGCTCGCTCGCTGCGTCCCTTCTGCATCTTCTCTCTCTTGCTTCCGAATTTTCTGTTTGAATAGAATCTCTGCCGCTCCCCAAAATTATTCTTCTGAATTGTATTATGATGTTTCACAGTTGTTTTTGAAAAAACCCCTTTCCTCCTCACTTAAAAATATTATCAAGAGAACACATACAACAAAATGCGCTCATCCTAAAATTATAGCTCAATGACTTTCTCCACATGTAGGGGCCGTATGCGTAGGGATAGGATGCCTGTACCATCCCCACAAGGATTCAGAACATTTCCAGGTGCTCCTTCCCGGTCGCCGGGTCATCATCCCAGTCAGTAACAAACACTAGTCTGGTTTCTGTCACAGTAGACTCTTTCCTGTTCTTGAGGCTCACATAGAATCATGTAGTAGGTTCTATGTAACATGTGGTTTATTTCGCCCAACATAGCAACGTCTGCAAGCCGCATTCATTCCTTATGCTTTATGGCTGCACGTAGTACTTCTTTGTGGTATTCCATATACTACATATTGTTTAGCTGATATGGACACATTGGCACCTTTTTTTGATGGAAATGTGTGCTTATTTCTCTTAGCTATCTGACTAAAAATGGAATTTTTAGATCACAAGGAAGGTATATGTTCAGTGATAGTAAATAATACTGAAGAGATTTTCAAGGTAGTATCAATTTACCACTTAATTAGCTAACAATGAATTCCATACATAGCTCCAGTGAAATGTAGCTTTATCATTTTTTAATTATAGCCATTCTGATGTTTTATTCTAATTTTAATTTCACTGAGCTCCTTTCAAATTCTTACTAGCCATTAGAATATCTTTTGTGATATACCATTCAAGTTTTTTGCCCATTTTCAAACTAGCCTGGTCATCTTCTTTCTGTTATTAGAAGCTCATTATGTATTTCTGATATCCCTTTAATGTGTGTGTGATGAATATCTTCTCTCAGTTAACAATTTGCCTTTACATTCTCTGAATAGTGTTTTAGGAACATGATTGCTTTGTGTCCTATGTAACAAATCACTACTCAGCCATTGTAGATGTATCCTACCAAGTTTTCTTCTGAAAGCTTTAGAAGAAAACTCCTCTTTTAAGTTGAGATTTCATTTCTAATTAGTTTTAGTATATGATTTTATTTATGAATCATTGTCTATTCTTATGCTGGCAACTAACTGACCTAGAACGATTTATTTAAAACATTGTCTTTTTCCCACTGAATTTGCAAAAATCAGGTGACCATATATGAATGCATCTTTTTTGCTGAGCTCTATTCTCTTGATCTCTTTGTTTCTATTACACTTTTTAAGATGTCTAAAGCTTAAAAAATAATTCTTAAAATATTATTTTTAGCATTCTGAATTTACTTCTTTGGTTGTTCTAGGCTGGCTGTTTGCATTTCCACAGAAGTAAACTTCCCCCCTCTCGAATTTTTAAAGTATTTACTCCAAATTTTTCACAAGTTTAAAAAGAAACTGAAAACAATAATACAAAGATTCCATATAATACAACCTACAGTCCATAGTTGAATTTTAGTAATCACTCCAATTGCATCTTCAAAAGCATTTCCCCTCATATACTCCAAGATCCCGTTCAGGGTCACACAATTTATCAGTTATGGGGTCCCTTTAGTCTATTCTTAATCTAGAACATTTCTTGTCCTTTTTAAAATCTTTCTCTACTGATGGTTTCAGTAGAGAAAGTGATTTTGTAGAATGCATCTCAGTTTAGGTCTATCTGCTATTTCATCATGCTCAGATTCAAGTTATGCATTTTTGGCAGAAATCCAGCATAAATAATGTTGCTTTTCTCGGTACATCACATAAGGGGCACATAATGTTGGTTTGTCCTATTCTGGATC